TATTCAGGTAATTCATTTATAGTACGATGGGCCTCTTTTAGTTTGCATGATTGAACTAACATATTCCAGCTTTATCACACAGCACCTGAGCAGATTGTTCGAGGCCATGGCCCACTTCAGCCTTCTGAGTGCAGCTCAGACGTTTATGCGTTTGGAGTTTTGCTGTTGGAGTTGCTGACAGGACGAAAGGCTCTGGATACGTCAAGAGGGTCACACGAATCCCTCCTCGCCGATTTTTTTAAGCCCATGCTCAACGACACTCAAACTCTGCTTACGTACATAGATCCAAGGATGCAGGTATGAGTGCAATGGTTTATGGTATGGGAAAGAGATGACCCTAATGATGTTAACAATATTTGCAGGGACACATCTCGTTGGAGGACATTTGCAGAGCTGCTGAGTTGGCAGCTGAATGCTTGATCATTGAATCCAATCAAAGAGTTGGCATGTCGACCTGTGTAGCCGAGCTTGTGCAGATTAGACATTCACAAAGGATTCCTTTCAGGTCGCATTCACCAACTAGAGAATCTCCCAGCCGAAAAGCCATGTGCAAAGCTCAGAGTAGGCTTCATTGCCATGAGACAAGTTGAATGTGTAACACAAGAACTTGCAGTGGTGAATGAAAATGTCTGGAAATTTGAAAGCATGTTTACCGTGTTATTACAATATTTCTTATCCAATTTGTACAGCATCGGGTACAACCCAAAACCAAACCATTTGAGCTGGTTTGCCGTAGTATTTGCCGTCTCCCAATTTTTTCAACATAGGTTTTGGGGGGGTTACGACCGTTTTTCATGTTTTCGAGAGTGGGAAAAATGGGCCTGTGGGCACGTCAACTTCACGGACGAATTACAGGCCGCCATGTCGAAACTACGTACGCAGGGTTTGCAGGGTAATCCGGGTAAACAGCTCTGCAAAAGTGAGCCCCATCTGGACCCGCCCCTGAATTCAAAATTTGAACACACCGCTGATGTACCGCAAGCAGCAGGCCCACCTCTCCTCCCCATGTCTCCTCACGTAAATCCGTCGAGGCATGTGGACATGAATGTATGGAACACAACCCTCGACAACCATCAGCATGTGGATGGGGAGATGTCTCGGCTCAAGAACATTAGTAGACATGCCATGCCATTCCGTGCCCAACCATCTGCCCAGCACCAGGTCAAGCACGTCAGGCGGTGATGGAGCAAAGTGCGTCGGGCTGTGCAGATTAGAGATGCTAATTCGTAGCCTTGAGAGTGGCGCCAACTCCGCAAAGACAAAGCTTCGCCAAAGGCGCGCCACGCCTGTTCTTCACCGACCAACCAAATCCACCTGATTCAACCGCCTCAACCGCGATAATGCGTAACCTGCCACCTCCTTCCCAGTGCAGCGATGGGCAAAACATCCGCTAACGGACTATCCACTAACGAATCACTCACTAACGAGGCATTCCATGGCGACACGCCGCATTCACCTATAATGCAAGGTCCCGCGATGGCCGCCGCAACGACGAAGGAGAAAAGTTATGGCGGAGGTGTCTCGGAACCTCCGAGTCAACAGAGGAATGCTGACGAGTCCGTCTCTCGATTTCGAATCGAGAGTGGTACTACTCAATTCGACTCCCACAAGTTACCACACGCCGTGTGCGACTCGCAGGATCACGGTGCCGCTGGCTCGCTGGGAACGCATTCGACGAGGGCCGGCGCGTTGGCGAATGATGTGGAAGAGACGCTTCTGCACCACGCGCGCATGCTCGCGCGCGAGCGCAGCAAGCGCGCGGAAGACTCTGCGCGCCGAGAGGAAGCGGAGGCGCGGTGGCGGGCGGCGGAGCAAGAGGCGGACGGTCTCCGCCGTGAGCTGGCCGCGCTGCTTTCACGGAGAGCGGGGGACCCGGGAGTGTCCGCGACGGGCGTTGGGCAGGAGCGGTTAGGGGAAGCAGGCGCGGGGATGGCGGGGAAGTTGGCGGAATTAGAGCGCGAGATGGCGGAGTTGCGGCGGGACGTGGGGGAGGTGACGCGGTGGGTGCGCAGGAGCGAGATGCGCGCGCGGGAGGGATGGCGCGCGGTGGAGGGGATGATGGGGGGAATGCGGAGGCGGATGGATAGAACGAGAGGGGAGGAAGGCGCGCCAGGAGGCGGAGGAGGGGTAAGCAGCGTGGGCGCAGAGGAGCGCGCAGGGGAGCGCGCAGGGGAGGAATCCGGAGATGAAGCGGGGAGGAGAAATTGTGAAATGCGAGAGGGGCTTGGAGATGCGTGGAGCATGCTTGGAGTGTGGGGAGGCGAGGTTGTAGCAGGAAGGGGCAGCGGGAACGAGGGAGGAGGGGCGTGGGCAAGCGAGCTTGGGGAGGGGGAAACGGGCTGCGTGGGGGCTGCGGAGGGGAGATGGCGGGAGATAGGGCGGGGGAAGGAGAGATGGGGGGGTAGATGGGAGCGGGTGATAAGGCGGATCGGGGATGTGGGGGCGAGAGTGCAGGGGGAGAGATGGCAGCAGGTGGAGTTGGAGCAGCAAGTGGAGAGGGCAGGGCGGGAGGTGGCACGAGTTAAGGCGCTCCTTGGGCGAGCCATGGGGGCGGAGGGGAAGATAGACGACGAGGTGGGAGAGGCGGGGCAGGGATATGTGGGTAGTGAGGAAAGGGAGCAGGGGGACGGTTTGGCAGGGTTGAGAGTGGTAGGGGTTGGTGAAGTGGCAAAAGAAGAGAGTGCGGTAGCCAGGGGGGGGATGGAAGGGGAGGTAGAGGGGACAGAGGGAGAGGAGGGATCGGAGGGGAGGCGAGTGGGTAAGGACGGAGGGGACATCGGAAAAACAGCGAGGGTGGAGGGGTAGCTTTTTGTTCAGGTGCTTCGAAGCTGCTTGGCTAAAAGTTACGCAGCACCTACTTTGCAGCTGCTTTGACCGAGGGCGCTTCGGGAATCAACGGACTGAGCATTGCGTCAGATGGGTTGGAGCTTGCGTGGACGACGTACATTGGTGTTCGATTCATACCTATGAGACACCTGCTGTTAACGAAATTGTCAGATTCGTCTGCGACTCCTTTGTTAAAGCGACGGGCAACTTTTGGCAGTGTTGGGTTCAGAAGTTTTTTTTTTGAACCAGGCTTGCCAGCGCGAAAGTGCTGGCTGGCGAAAACCAGGATTTCGTGCGGACACTTTCCATCCGCAGTAACAGTTCGCCAGGGTTCTGGGTTTTGGGTGGCAAATGTGCACCGTCGCTTTAAGATCGCCAAAGACGCACGATCAAGTGACGCTCACCTTTTCGAATCCTCGCTAAGGACACTACAAAAGTCGCCAATGTTACCTGCTTTTATAGTTGTAAATAAACCGCACACTATTTATGTAATATGTTTCACACACTATTATGAATTCCATCCATTACTTCTCTAAGAAATATGTTAACTACTTAGGCTCCTGGAAAAAGGATTGATAGGTTTCTGCCACTACTGGTAACTATATCTACCCATTGTGTGCAGCAAAGCATTGCATTATTTAAGAATATGCAAAACGGTTGAGGAGCTTCAGCGTTGGTCGCGTGAAGGACGTTATGATATGCTCCGCCCGACTGATCTCTGCAAGATGAATGTTTTTGTACGTAGCAGCGCGGCAACCTGTACCCAGCTTCAACGAGCACGTCTCAGTGTCCTCCCCACGCTCCTCAAGCATACGAACAAAAGCCGATGGTATTTTGTTCTTGACGCGGCCCTCCCCACTGATCACCACGTGAAATAGCAGAAGAATTTGTGCATAGACCACAGCTTCTGAGGGTGTTGACTCGTCCGCAGTATCAGACTTCAGTGAAACACATGAGAACCAAGCGGCGCCATGGAACTTTGGGGTGGCACGTGCGTAGTGGCTCTGGTACCCATCTTTCCCTGGTAGGGCCATGACGGAATGGACCTGCAGTGTAAACAATTTGGTTATTAAAGGGAACGCCCGATGAATTCAGCTACAGTACGATAACGTGTTTGGAAACGGGCGACCTAACGTTCACGCCAGGCTGTACACTTGCTTACATGAATGGTACTTGGGTGACAACCTGCAGCCCCAAGTGCAGCAGCAAATAGGTCCATGCAGGAGCCGTGGTGGTCACGGTAGCTCTTCCAGATATCGTCCCCACGCCTATTCTCAAGAATGTGTGGCATTGAAACAGGTGTTGACGTTGTTGTCAGGACAGCATGGCAAACCGCATCCGCCTGCCAGGGGGTGAGTGCAGACAAGTTATGGAAGAAAGGAACTTCATAAGTTTAAAGCTAATTCTCAGCCGTGGGAGGGTGTGGGGTGTCATGTGTGAGTGAGTGGGATAGCATGTGGGAGCATGTGGGATGACATGTGGGTGTGGGTGGGCTGTACTGTGGGTGTGTGTGGGATGACATGTGTGTGTAGGTGGGCTGGACTGTGGGTGTGTGTGGGTTGACATGTGTGTGTGGGTGGGCTGGACTGTGGGTGTGTGAGGTATACTATGTGGGTGTGGGTGGGCCGGACTGTGGGTGTGTGATGGATGATATGTGGGTGTGGGTGGGCTGGACTGTGGGTGTGTGTGGGATGGCATGTGTGTGTGGGTGGGCTGGACTGTGGGTGTGTGAGGGATGACATGTGTGTGTGGGTGGGATGGCATGTGGGTGTGCGTGGGATGGCATGTGGGTGTGTGTGGGATGGCATGTGGGAGCATGTGGGATGACATGTGGGTGTGGGTGGGCTGTACTATGGGTGGGTGTGGGATGAAATGTGGGTGTGGGTGGGCTGGACTGTGGGTGTGTGATGGATGATATGTGGGTGTGGGTGGGCTGGACTGTGGGTGTGTGTGGGATGGCATGTGTGTGTGGGTGGGCTGGACTGTGGGTGTGTGAGGGATGACATGTGTGTGTGGGTGGGATGGCATGTGGGTGTGTGTGGGATGGCATGTGGGTGTGTGTGGGATGGCATGTGGGAGCATGTGGGATGACATGTGGGTGTGGGTGGGCTGTACTGTGGGTGTGTGTGGGATGACATGTGTGTGTGGGTGGGCTGGACTGTGGGTGTGTGTGGGTTGACATGTGTGTGTGGGTGGGCTGGACTGTGGGTGTGTGTGGGTTGACATGTGTGTGTGGGTGGGCTGGACTGTGGGTGTGTGAGGTATACTATGTGGGTGTGGGTGGGCTGGACTGTGGGTGTGTGTGGGATGGCATGTGGGTGTGTGTGGGATGGCATGTGGGAGCATGTGGGATGACATGTGGGTGTGGGTGGGCTGTACTGTGGGTGTGTGTGGGATGACATGTGTGTGTGGGTGGGCTGGACTGTGGGTGTGTGTTGTTAGAATCTAGAATAGAACAAGAATGGATGAAACTAGGTAGGAGGGGGATACAAGTAGGAAACCCTAACAAAGCTGTACCCCCTAAGGCTAAACCCACTATAGCCTACACAATATAAACATATAATGTTTGACACACCCCCATAGGCTAAGTGGGAGACAACGAGATGGTCACAAGACCAGTCAAAGCAAAGCAAAGCAAGCTCAGGGTGGATCTCAAGGAAACCACACAAATTATGAGCACAAGCAAGTGGTCACAAGACCAGTTCACATGCAGGTTGATAGTATAACAAGAGATACAGTGATCACAACCTAGCAAGAGTAAACAAGCAGGTATATATATAGAGATCACAGTACAAGCAGAGTCAAGAAGTAAGCAAGTGAGGCCCAGTAGGCACGAGGCCTAGAACAGTACAGAAGCGCTGATGGTCACAAGGCTGAAGCGCCTTGGTGAACACATCAGCAGTGTTGGCCCGAGTGGCCACGTAACGCAGACGAAGCTGACCGCGCTGCTGCAGCTCTTGAGCAAGGAAGTAGCGCAGAGCGATATGCTTCGTTATGTGCTCCAGTCTGTGCTCCTCACACAAGGCAATGGCAGCCTTGTTGTCGACGTACAGCACTGGAGGAGAACGAGGCCGCTCTCCCAAGTCGGTCAGCAGGTAGGTGAGCCAGCGTAACTCCTGTGCAGCCATGGCTGTGGCGTAGATCTCAGCCTCACAACTGGAGCTGAGAACAGAAGACGAGCGTGTAGAACGCCAAGAAACTGAACCAGAGCCAAGGCTGAAGGTGTAACCCTGAGACGACCGCTGAGTAGCCTGGTCGTCAGCCCAAGACGCGTCTGAGTGCCCAGTGAGTACAACTCGGTTTCGTCCTCCAAGCACTAGCCCCATGCCCGACGTACTGCACAAGTAGCGCAACACCCTCTTAGCGGCATCCATGTGCTCCTTCCGGTGACGGCCAGGAGCGACATAGCGTGCAAGGATGCTAAGAGGGTATGCAAGGTCAGGTCGAGTGCAGGTCATCAGGTACATGAGGCAGCCCACAAGCTCTGGATACGGGCCACTCGGCTCTACGGACTCATCCGAAGGCAGAGCTGAGAGCGAGTGACCGGTAGGCAGAGGAGTGGGCTGAGGCGAGGAGTACGTGAAGCGGAAGCGCTGAAGGACCTGCTGCACCATGTGTGACTGAGTCAAGGTGATGGTGCGCCGTGCTCTGTCCCGGGTGATCCGCAAGCCAAGATAGCTTGTCAGTTCACCCAGGTCTGTGCACGTGTGTCTCTTCTGCAGCTCCGACTTCACGTGGGCGAGTGCCGCAGTGTCTGCAGTGGCAAAGACCAAGTCGTCGACGTACACGAGGATGTAGAACGGCGGCAGCGAGGTGTCGGTGCGTAGAAACAGCGACGGGTCAGCAGTAGAAGGAGCGAACCCAAGAGCCGCAAGTGTAGTCCTCAGTGTGTCGTGCCACTCACGTGGCGCCTGTCGGAGACCGTAGACTGGCCGCCGGAGGCTCCACTGGGTACCAGGAGGGAACGACCCAGTGAAGCCAGGTGGGCGGCGCAGCCAGATCTCCTCGTGCAGGCTGCCCTGTAGGAAAGCAGTGCTGAAGTCAAGAGAGTGGAGCTCGTAGTCACGCTGAGCGGCGACGTGCAGCAGAACCCGAAGAGTGGTCATCTTCGGGGTCGGGGAGAAGGTCTGGAAGAAGTCAACTCCCTCTCGCTGACTGAAGCCTCGTGCAACGTAACGCGCCTTGAAGACAGGCGGAGAACCCGGCGGCCGCTTCACCCTGAAAATCCACATGCCACTGACGATGTTCGCCCCAGGTGGGGGAACCTCGTCGAGGTGCCTGTGGACTTCCAGGAAGCCATCTCTGCGTCCATGGCTGTCTGCCACTAAGAGGAGTAGGGACCCTCTATCGCCTCTGCGTAAGAGCGCGGAGTCGGGATGTCTGGTGCATCTGGGTCTCCCTCAGGGGCAACTAGCATGGACACGAGATGAGGTAAAGCAGCGGCAAAGCACTCAAACTCCTCCTGCATGTCCTCAAGGACGTCCGTGCTAAGAGCACACTCACCCCCGACGGACGGAGGACAGACAGACTCAGACTCAGCAACTAGGCTAGCGGCGTAGTCTAGACGACAAGTGGCAGCAAAGTCGACAAGCTCGGCAACTAAGGCAGACGCAGCAGTGGACTCAAAGGAAGGGTCAGTGACAACAGTAGCCAGGAGACGCGTGACAGTAGGACTGGCAGCACGAAGGGAGTCAGACTCAGGGTCAGCAAGAGCAGGAAGAGAGGACGCATGAGGAGACGGGAGAGGGACACGCTGGGGAGCAGTGGAAGGACGAAGCGCCATCTGGTGAGTGCCTGGGACAGCAGGAGGACGCTGACGCGGGACACGACGACCAGTGTGAGCAGCACGAACAGGTGACGCTCGACGAGACTCAGGCGACGCAGGACGAGACTCAGGCTCACGACGCTCCGTAAGACCTCCAGTCGGACCAGTGTAAGGAGAAGGACCAGGGAGAGGGGAGGCAGACGGTAACTGTGAC